AGAGACGGGAACCGGAAATTAATCCTCAGGGTGCCCATGCAACTGTATTTTGAATATCAATTGAGGATAGATGTAGGTGTCTATGGGCTGTACACATAGTCTACCTAACAGCATGTGCTTACAATTAGGTGCTAGTTTCTTACCCTTTTCTCTATTGTAAAAAAACTTTGAAAATAACATGGAATGAATGATTTTATCCCGTTTATTTTTAACAAACAAATTTTTAACAAAGATAAAAGTGACAATCTAACACACAGTCCATCTGATGATAAGTGGATGCTGTGGTCCATACTTCTTTATAAAATAGATAAGATATCGTTTGATAATGTAAACATAATTCATCAAACTAACAATTTCATGTGTGGGCGGGGATCGGACCCGGGTTGCTCACGTTTACGGCGAGTACTTCGCCGCTGAGCTATCACGGCCCTTAAATAGCTTTTTGTTTTGTTTTATAATAACGTTACCTCCACACAAGTGATTTTTCTTAAGAATGTAGTGGGGGCAGTTAACATAAGTACAAAAATTTCACAAAGAGAAACATTCAAACAAAAGACCAAACACAACTATTTGTAGCATTATACATATTTTTGTTACATGCGGGTTTAAATCAATGGCGCTCAATGCTAAAATTCATTATGTACATATCTTTATAGTGATAAATAATACAATTACAAATTGCTTACTATTAAATAAACGTATAACATTATTAATAATTAAATAAATAATACCATCTAACAAAGTAGGCATCATTCATTTAAATGGGTTGCGCTTTCATTCGTCTACGCTAGTGTGGCCAGTTTAAGTGGGTCAAATTTCGAAACAGAAGGTAAAAATCAGGAATTTGGCTTTAAAATGGGGACAGTTACAATGGCTGCAAAAAGCAGATTTTTTGTAGCCAATGTAGTCCCCATTAGTTATACTGGTATTTTTGACACAATGCGTTATGTCTTTCATAAATATTATTTCGGACTCATCAAACGAGCTAATAATTTTTTGTACAAATATCAGAAAAACTGCACGATCGTCTGTTTGCATTTTTCCTTTTTGGTAAATCAGAACTTGTTGAACAATAAATTTTCGTTGCAAACTCTAAACTTTCTGAATCACTCATCTTAATCTAATTCTGAAAATAGTCATAAATCTTATGAACTCACAATACATGCACTTCAAAAAGCACTCAAAAACGGTAACATACAATACAATAAAAAGTACACGTTCACACGTAATTAAACACTTATACTACCTAAAAGCTTGATGGCCTAGATACCTTGGATCGGACGTATAATGTCACTTTATTTATTGTAAACAACAGTACTTACAACCTATTGATGAAATTGACTAGTGGAAGAACTTACCCACAAGACTTTAGCATTTTACTAAATGTACTAATTTAAACAGCAGCATGTAAGTTAGGTACTGTACTGATTACTAGCAACAGAATGAAAAAATAAATGATCGTCAAATTAACGACGTCGATGCGTAGCGTGTCGGGCAAGTGGCACCAGGCAGTGAGACAAACAAAACGAGTCAACATGATTGACATGTGTACCTCGCCAACACACTACGTTAGGTACTGTCTGATTACTAGCAACAGAATGAGAAAATAAATGATCGTCAAATTAACGACGTCGATGCGTAGCGTGTCGGGCAAGTGGCACCAGGCAGTGAGACAAACAAAACGAGTCAACATGATTGACATGTGTACCTCGCCAACACACTACGTTAGGTACTGTCTGATTACTAGCAACAGAATGAAAAAATAAATGATCGTCAAATTACCGACGTCGATGCGTAGCGTGTCGGGCAAGTGGCACCAGGCAGTGAGACAAACAAAACGAGTCAACATGATTGACATGTGTACCTCGCCAACACACTACGTTAGGTACTGTCTGATTACTAGCAACAGAATGAGAAAATAAATGATCGTCAAATTAACGACGTCGATGCGTAGCGTGTCGGGCAAGTGGCACCAGGCAGTGAGACAAACAAAACGAGTCAACATGATTGACATGTGTACCTCGCCAACACACTACGTTAGGTACTGTCTGATTACTAGCAACAGAATGAGAAAATAAATGATCGTCAAATTAACGACGTCGATGCGTAGCGTGTCGGGCAAGTGGCACCAGGCAGTGAGACAAACAAAACGAGTCAACATGATTGACATGTGTACCTCGCCAACACACTACGTTAGGTACTGTCTGATTACTAGCAACAGAATGAGAAAATAAATGATCGTCAAATTAACGACGTCGATGCGTAGCGTGTCGGGCAAGTGGCACCAGGCAGTGAGACAAACAAAACGAGTCAACATGATTGACATGTGTACCTCGCCAACACACTACGTTAGGTACTGTCTGATTACTAGCAACAGAATGAGAAAATAAATGATCGTCAAATTAACGACGTCGATGCGTAGCGTGTCGGGCAAGTGGCACCAGGCAGTGAGACAAACAAAACGAGTCAACATGATTGACATGTGTACCTCGCCAACACACTACGTTAGGTACTGTCTGATTACTAGCAACAGAATGAGAAAATAAATGATCGTCAAATTAACGACGTCGATGCGTAGCGTGTCGGGCAAGTGGCACCAGGCAGTGAGACAAACAAAACGAGTCAACATGATTGACATGTGTACCTCGCCAACACACTACGTTAGGTACTGTCTGATTACTAGCAACAGAATGAGAAAATAAATGATCGTCAAATTAACGACGTCGATGCGTAGCGTGTCGGGCAAGTGGCACCAGGCAGTGAGACAAACAAAACGAGTCAACATGATTGACATGTGTACCTCGCCAACACACTACGTTAGGTACTGTCTGATTACTAGCAACAGAATGAGAAAATAAATGATCGTCAAATTAACGACGTCGATGCTTAGCGTGTCGGGCAAGTGGCACCAGGCAGTGAGACAAACAAAACGAGTCAACATGATTGACATGTGTACCTCGCCAACACACTACGTTAGGTACTGTCTGATTACTAGCAACAGAATGAGAAAATAAATGATCGTCAAATTAACGACGTCGATGCGTAGCGTGTCGGGCAAGTGGCACCAGGCAGTGAGACAAACAAAACGAGTCAACATGATTGACATGTGTACCTCGCCAACACACTACGTTAGGTACTGTCTGATTACTAGCAACAGAATGAGAAAATAAATGATCGTCAAATTAACGACGTCGATGCATAGCGTGTCGGGCAAGTGGCACCAGGCAGTGAGACAAACAAAACGAGTCAACATGATTGACATGTGTACCTCGCCAACACACTACGTTAGGTACTGTCTGATTACTAGCAACAGAATGAGAAAATAAATGATCGTCAAATTAACGACGTCGATGCATAGCGTGTCGGGCAAGTGGCACCAGGCAGTGAGACAAACAAAACGAGTCAACATGATTGACATGTGTACCTCGCCAACACACTACGTTAGGTACTGTCTGATTACTAGCAACAGAATGAGAAAATAAATGATCGTCAAATTAACGACGTCGATGCGTAGCGTGTCGGGCAAGTGGCACCAGGCAGTGAGACAAACAAAACGAGTCAACATGATTGACATGTGTACCTCGCCAACACACTACGTTAGGTACTGTCTGATTACTAGCAACAGAATGAGAAAATAAATGATCGTCAAATTAACGACGTCGATGCGTAGCGTGTCGGGCAAGTGGCACCAGGCAGTGAGACAAACAAAACGAGTCAACATGATTGACATGTGTACCTCGCCAACACACTACGTTAGGTACTGTCTGATTACTAGCAACAGAATGAGAAAATAAATGATCGTCAAATTAACGACGTCGATGCGTAGCGTGTCGGGCAAGTGGCACCAGGCAGTGAGACAAACAAAACGAGTCAACATGATTGACATGTGTACCTCGCCAACACACTACGTTAGGTACTGTCTGATTACTAGCAACAGAATGAGAAAATAAATGATCGTCAAATTAACGACGTCGATGCGTAGCGTGTCGGGCAAGTGGCACCAGGCAGTGAGACAAACAAAACGAGTCAACATGATTGACATGTGTACCTCGCCAACACACTACGTTAGGTACTGTCTGATTACTAGCAACAGAATGAGAAAATAAATGATCGTCAAATTAACGACGTCGATGCGTAGCGTGTCGGGCAAGTGGCACCAGGCAGTGAGACAAACAAAACGAGTCAACATGATTGACATGTGTACCTCGCCAACACACTACGTTAGGTACTGTACTGATAACTAGCAACAGAATGAGAAAATAAATGATCGTCAAATTAACGACGTCGATGCGTAGCGTGTCGGGCCAGTGGCACCAGGCAGTGAGACAAACAAAACGAGTCAACATGATTGACATGTGTACCTCGCCAACACACTACGTTAGGTACTGTCTGATTACTAGCAACAGAATGAGAAAATAAATGATCGTCAAATTAACGACGTCGATGCGTAGCGTGTCGGGCAAGTGGCACCAGGCAGTGAGACAAACAAAACGAGTCAACATGATTGACATGTGTACCTCGCCAACACACTACGTTAGGTACTGTACTGATAACTAGCAACAGAATGAGAAAATAAATGATCGTCAAATTAACGACGTCGATGCATAGCGTGTCGGGCAAGTCGACCTGAAAGATAAGTCAGAAGCATATTTTCCTAAAACGCTTGTCTTTTCTCTATAAAACCGTCATTAAAAATTGTAATATTGCTCTGTAGTGCACTGAATAAAGACTTCACCTTCCTAAAGCCGTAATTTACGGCAAATAATCTGCTCACATCGTTACGATATCGACCATGAAAAAACACAAACACATGAATTTTTCGACGCGAATCGCTTATGCCACTTTAGAAAAGAAAGTTATTCACTTCAATGTTATTGAAATTATTCGAAAGAATTCGCTGTTAGTAATATACATTAAAATAAATTCAATCGAATTACTCAGTTTTGTTAATTCGCACAATAGTGGTTCGGAAACATTGCTAGAGATAAAAAACAAAATACTTGGCATCGTAATTGGACGGATATATCGTCAATCCTGACGCGCATGTACTCTGTGCTCAGCTCGGTCTTCTTGTCGATGATGAGCTTCTGTTGACGTCGCCGTTTCACTTGCGGCTCCACATCTTCCAGCTCCTGCATAATAAGCATACGTCGTATTGTAAAATTAATAGAACGGTTTTTTAAAATAAAGTTGAAATGATAATCGAACTTATCTGACACCTGTAACTAACTTCAAACAAAGAAAGCTACAAATGCGTTATCACCTCTGAGGACTAAGACGAAATGACTCACAGCCTGCATTTATATTTTATACTGCCTTTCTTTATAATATTGGTATCAGATGTAGCTCTTCAGGCCAGAACACACCTAACTAAGACGGAATGACTCACAGCCTGCATTTATATTTTATACTGCCTTTCTTTATAATATTGGTATCAGATGTAGCTCTTCAGGCCAGAACACACCTAACTAAGACGGAATGACTCACAGCCTGCATTTATATTTTATACTGCCTTTCTTTATAATATTGGTATCAGATGTAGCTCTTCAGGCCAGAACACACCTAACTAAGACGGAATGACTCACAGCCTGCATTTATATTTTATACTGCCTTTCTTTATAATATTGGTATCAGATGTAGCTCTTCAGGCCAGAACACACCTAACTAAGACGGAATGACTCACAGCCTGCATTTATATTTTATACTGCCTTTCTTTATAATATTGGTATCAGATGTAGCTCTTCAGGCCAGAACACACCTAACTAAGACGGAATGACTCACAGCCTGCATTTATATTTTATACTGCCTTTCTTTATAATATTGGTATCAGATGTAGCTCTTCAGGCCAGAACACACCTAACTAAGACGAAATGACTCACAGCCTGCATTTATATTTTATACTGCCTTTCTTTATAATATTGGTATCAGATGTAGCTCTTCAGGCCAGAACACACCTAACTAAGACGGAATGACTCACAGCCTGCATTTATATTTTATACTGCCTTTCTTTATAATATTGGTATCAGATGTAGCTCTTCAGGCCAGAACACACCTAACTAAGACGGAATGACTCACAGCCTGCATTTATATTTTATACTGCCTTTCTTTATAATATTGGTATCAGATGTAGCTCTTCAGGCCAGAACACACCTAACTAAGACGAAATGACTCACAGCCTGCATTTATATTTTATACTGCCTTTCTTTATAATATTGGTATCAGATGTAGCTCTTCAGGCCAGAACACACCTAACTAAGACGGAATGACTCACAGCCTGCATTTATATTTTATACTGCCTTTCTTTATAATATTGGTATCAGATGTAGCTCTTCAGGCCAGAACACACCTAACTAAGACGGAATGACTCACAGCCTGCATTTATATTTTATACTGCCTTTCTTTATAATATTGGTATCAGATGTAGCTCTTCAGGCCAGAACACACCTAACTAAGACGGAATGACTCACAGCCTGCATTTATATTTTATACTGCCTTTCTTTATAATATTGGTATCAGATGTAGCTCTTCAGGCCAGAACACACCTAACTAAGACGGAATGACTCACAGCCTGCATTTATATTTTATATGCCTTTCTTTATAATATTGGTATCAGATGTAGCTCTTCAGGCCAGAACACACCTAACTAAGACGGAATGACTCACAGCCTGCATTTATATTTTATACTGCCTTTCTTTATAATATTGGTATCAGATGTAGCTCTTTAGGCCAGAACACACCTAACTAAGACGGAATGACTCACAGCCGGCATTTATATTTTATACTGCCTTTCTTTATAATATTGGTATCAGATGTAGCTCTTCAGGCCAGAACACACCTAACTAAGACGGAATGACTCACAGCCTGCATTTATATTTTATACTGCCTTTCTTTATAATATTGGTATCAGATGTAGCTCTTCAGGCCAGAACACACCTAACGAAGACGGAATGACTCACAGCCTGCATTTATATTTTATATGCCTTTCTTTATAATATTGGTATCAGATGTAGCTCTTCAGGCCAGAACACACCTAACCCAACACAACGTGGTTGGTGCCTGATCAGACGGACTGATAGGCAAGAAAGGGGTTCTACTTTTCAGAGAAGTGACGAAATTCCGTAACCGTAAAAAATCATCGGATATCCGAAATAGAACTATAAATAACCGTCGGCAGTTCCTAAATAAATTATCGTATAGTTTCGAAAATTATTCTAATTATTATATGTTAGGTGGCGTCCATTAATTTTGAGAAGTGATTTTGGCGCTTTTTCGAAAGAATCAAAATAAAAGCAATAAAATGCTTAAGTAGGAACTACTAAAATTCGTAAGTTCATTCTAATTCAGTCCACGGTGTTTTCTCGCAATTTTACACTGCTTCTCGCGGAAAAAAATTAAGTGATATTTACCAAAAGCCGTCATCTCTCCTCATCCACATGAGAGATTCGGCTCGACCCTACACCCTCCCCAATGATTTCACGGTAACGAAGTTGGAGGCCTGTTAATCTTGTTGTAATGCAGGAAAGTTTTAACGAGGAGTCGTATTGTTGGTATTATGACTTTAAAAAAACGAATCCCTTATTCTACATCTAACACTAATTATACATTGTCTTGTGGGCTACACTATAATTTGACCGGCCAGGTTTTCTTTTTTTTTTTTTTTTTTTTTGTTTTGGGGTTTTTCTTGTCCGGCTTTAATTACCCACTTCAAGAACTTGCCGTACATAGTTTCCTAAACGATTAAGAAAAAAATTATTGAAACACCACAATATTAATGACAATTTTTAAAAATTGTAATCTCTAAATGAGATCTAGGATTCGAACCAAAAACCATCAAATAATTACATGTCACTGCCGTAGTGACACTGTCGTTTTCAATTTCTACTCGCCAGGATTATTATTACCTCCAAGACAAATCCTTCAGCCGGCTCTCCCACGGTAGCCTCAGTCGGAACAATGATGGCTTTCTGTTCCACAGTTTGCCTGCAGTGAAATAAATATATTTTAACATGGCCAATTTCCTCCATAAGAAAATAAAAAAAACTTACCATATTTTAGATAATATATAAATTAGATAAACAAAAAAGTTACCATAATGATTACAAGTAATTAATTATTTTGAAAAAATACTAACGCATTCGGATGAGGAGTATTCAATGCAGGAAGAGGAATTTCAGGGATTTCAGGATCTTCATGCATTTCAGGATCTTTAGGGAATTCAGGATATTCAGGGATTTCAGGATCGTCAGGGATTTCTGTGTGGCCATTATTATTATTATTATATCAATAAATTAAAAAAATGTTTTCAATATCACATTAACGCTGTAAATTTCATACATGCCTTTTTCAAAATCGCCAACTGCAACGAGCTCGGTTCCAACGGCTGTGGAATAAAAAGGTTTTAACAGAGTAATGAACATAATTATATACTTTAATGCTAATATCCTTGTTCGCGGGAGGACGTTGCAGTTTTCTTCAAACGCTAGGAATTCAAAAATAAATTTACATTGCACGCGATATTACTTTTAAATTCGTTTCATTCAAATTCTATTTAAATATAAATTACTGAGATTTAGTGCTGCATTTTTCTCTTTTCTCTTCTTAACTTCTCATGTTCTGGAATACATTTTATTTCTCCACCTACTTCTTGCCTTCAAAAGAGAATCAAAATCCGGACTAAGATGGAATGCGTCGTTGCCAATAAAATGAGTCTCCTGTTCTCTACGCACACCATACGAAACAGCAGCATTACGCTGCTAATCTATTTCCAAGGGAGTCTTTAATACAGCTGTATCTCTATCACGTAAAAAATTAAGAAGAAAATAGTTGGTTCAACACTACATTTCCAGTGTCGCAAAAGCCAGTCAAACCCATGCCAACTTATCATAAGGACACGATTCTACCGTGGACTTTAAATATAGGCTGCAACGGAAACCCGTTAGACTATTAAGGCCCACTGCTGAACATAGGCCCCCCCTAACCGGAGACCCTTTTTACTGGAAACGAGGCATTTCATCTAGTCCTCACGGCTGACAACGCATCTGCATTTTGAATCGCATACGAGGATAGTGTAGATATATATGGACCACAGCAACCACTTACCATCAGGTGGACTGTGTGCTCGTTTGTCACCATTACTCTATAAAATAAAAATAAATTGCATCTAAAATAATTTGCAAACAACATTGTTTCAGGGTATGTGTTTGTGCAATATTGAAATTTACTTACTGATGAAGAAAAAAGGAAGAAAGATGTGTGTGTGTACGCGTGTTGAGAAGTTAAGCATAGTTTTGGCATCACTAAGAATGTACGCAGCGTTCCGTCTATCTTACTTTTTTGGTCGGAGGTTGTTACTTACACTTGCGATACATGGCGACATCGTGCACCGATATAGTTTCCATCTGCGCGTCGTGAGTGGCTGGCTCCGACTTGTCGTGCGACTTCTCGGCGGGGAAGTCTACGGGAAAGTCGAACACGCTATGATCTATCGCAGACACGTCGCCTTGCATCATCAGCTCCATCGTACGATCAGCGATCTGATGATCAATGTGAAGCTCGCCGAAATCATCCTAAGATTAAAAATATGTAAGTTATTGCTTGTTACTTTAAGTGTTGATTTATCACATACTCGGCGATGAAGGTAAAAATCATGACGTGCATATCCGAGAAAATATAAAATAATAATACGAAGCCATCTGATTCTCAACACCATGGGGGCAGCGCGGCGGAGTTTTCTTTTCCCTAAAACCCTCTCAGAAATGAGAGGAGACTTGTACCCAGCAGCAGCATGTATGTAGGCTGTAACTTTACTGTGCTTTAAAAATGATATAGAGCTCCAAATTGAGGCAAACTACTATCCACAAAATATGCATGAGGTAGTTTTTACTAATTACATTGAGATATCAATGTAGAATAATAAGATATCCAGTTTTAAATAATAGAATTGAAGATAATTTATAATTCAACATGAATTAACTCTAATAATTTAAATAAAATAATATATTTACAATATTATTTTAAGTGACATCAAATTTAAAAAATGTTTAAAGCTAAACTTAAACTAAATCTTAAATTATAATTTAAATAATCATAACTTACATTTAGCAACATAATTTCAGGCATGGTCGGTTCCTTAAGCGTTATCTCGTCAATGTTAGCAACTACATTTTTGCTATTCTGAAAATAAATTTTAAATGAAAGGTTTTTTACTATGCAAAAAACATTAAGACAAAGGTAAGTATGTCAAATAATTACGAATTCATAAATAATCCTACACGCATATTTCCTGAGATCCGATTAGTGCTATTTTTAACACTTAATCAACAAGTCATTAGTCACCTACACCACTTCCATCATAGTATATATATATATATATATATATATATATATATATATATATATATATACATTTAGCATCAATAATAATTAGCCTTAAACAAAGGAAAAAATCTCAAAGTTAGTTATCATCGATATTCGGTGTCAAGTTAATGGTGCGGTTAGTTTCAACTACCTACTTGTCGACATTTAATTCGTGTAGTTTAAAATAAAAAAGAATAAATTGAAGTGTAAACACAAGACAAACGTTGGAGATCACATATTTGTTTAGATTAACAAAAGGAAAAGCTTTTAAAAGTTATTGATATCCCACTGTACGGTGAAACGTATTTACATATTTCACAACCACTTATATGTATTTAATTTTGTTAACTTAGCAGTATTAATAACACAGCACTGTTACGCGCCAATACTCGGCGAGTTAACTTTACCATCATAATATCATATCAAATATATATCATATCGTAGCAAAATTTATATTATCATCTATCATAAAGTGTGGGAATTACACCCCACACCCACATGTACAAAGGGGCCAAGTTCGGTACGGTTATCTTCGCCTATAAACGACTTGGAGTCTGAATGCCAAGCTCTGTGGAATTAACTTCATTTTTGCGTTTTTTTTTTGACTCAAAATTGGTTAATTTCGAAGACTCAAAACTATTTAATGGACTTGATTGCGGATATCCAAAAGTTGTAAATGAAGTTATATACAGGAACTTAGATCAAAGGTTTACGCGGTCTTAAGGTTTATGTTAGAATCTCTTTATAAAATGCCGGTAAGTAGTAGTAGTAAGAGTATATAAAAGTACACACACAAGTGTAATAATAATCCTATATAATCAAATTTATTAATACAATAAAGAGAGTCTTATATCATCATTCGTTGGTTTAACTCCTCTCCTAACATTCGCCCTACATGGCGACCCTGCCGAAGTAATTCGCGACGCGAATATGACACCCTCCGCCGTATTTGGAGTGGAACATTTTTTCTGTGTGCAACTGATGAACTAAATCAAGCTATGGCGTTCTATCTTAAGCTGCGCGACTGTGTACACGTGTTTAACGAAAAATAACATCCAAGATGGGCGGTAAACAGACTAAAGAAGAGACCGTAATTGTGCAAAACGCAGTGGGAAACAATAAGGCAAGAGTTGAACAACTGCAATTTCACCCGACTACCAGTAATATTTTGCTGTCTATCGTTGTGCTGGTACTTCTACTGGGGTCCCTATATTGCTAGTAGTTAGTTAGTACCAGTTCTGGCTCACTGAGTCAGAAGTGGTACAAGTACGACGTTCGTCGACTCCACGATCCTAAAAAAAAAGGTTTTGGCATGCTCTGATCACGAATCTGCGGTCCATTTTTGCGTAGTATGCAAGGTTCCAGAGATGTGCAGATCAATTAACTCGTATCTAATTGATATCCAGTGAGGGCCTCCGGGCCTCCCCCGTCATTAGCGCCCCATTGTTGTTTATCTATTGTTCAGTGAATACCGTCATTGTCTATTCGTGCGTCGGCTTATCAGTGCTATTGTATTATACTCCTTTGTTCCTATCTACAACACTAATACAACATTGAATCATCAATAAAACACATTACCTAATTTTGTTAAAATTTTTATTTACAAAATACAAAATCTTATTACTTATTATCTATAAAATAGGAGCGAAACATCTCATCCACTAAAATATCGTTGTACAATGTGTTCCCTGTAAATATACTCGTAAAACTATGCATTGAACATCACTGAAACTTATATACCAAATATATTAAGTAATATTCGCCACAAACTGAAGTCCACTCATTCTGAATCCTATCAACATTCCAGTTCCATCTTTTACAATTTATTTTTAAAAACTCTAGATGATATCGTACAGGTGCTCGTCCGAATGAATCAAAATATTGACCGACGTCATTCGTATCGATATATAAAGCTACCCAATGTGACCCTGGTTTATCATCTGTATCCAAATTGCATATTATATACGTTGGTACGTGGGTGTACATGGGCAGTTTATTGGCAGCATAAACATTAATTTCTAGAGTGGAGTGAATCTTTTTCAGATGTTGTTGTACATCTAGTGTATCCATGATATTACTGCTATTAGTAGATTATTACAGTACCAATCTACTCAATGGCTAACATAGGAATGATCAATTATAGTGATTTCTAAATATTAAATTGCATTCTTTGTGTTATACAAAACGTATTTGAGTCATCAATACACTGAACAAGACACGGCACGAAGGATGAAGGAATGCTGAGATAAGCAACAGAATGTGAGATAAGCTTGTTGACGCATAAAGTTACTATCAATTCCACTGCAGAAATTCTTTAGATTAGAATTATTACTTACTGGTACTATATAAGACCAGGCAACTGCAGTCATTGAGTTAGTGTATGGTCGTTTGACCGCAGTGGATCTATCAATACTACATTTGTGTTACTTCAACGCATCAAAGGCAATGGATGTAAGTGTTTATTCTATTGACAAACTTACATTTGTTTCTGTTATTTTCTTACGTGTGTATGATTTAGTGTTAACAAATTATATTTAAATATTATGTGTGTATATGATTAAGCCGTGGTAGCTCAGATGGTTAGCGCAAAATGTAAATTTCATAGTACGCGACCCGGGTTCGATCCCCGCCGGCACCAATTAAATTGTTAATTGCAATTTTAAGTGCTGATTTACCACGTTCTCAGCGGTGAAGGAAAACATCGTGAGGAAACCTGCATGTCTGAGAAAATTTTGAAGGCATGTGAAGTTTGCCAACACGCATTGAGGCAGCGCAGCGAACATTTCCTAGCCCTAAAACCCTCTCAGAAATGAGAGGAGGCCTATGTTCAGCAGTGGACTTTAATAGGCTGTAACTTTAATTTTTTTAACTTTTATGATTAAGTGTTAACAAATTGATATTAACATGATAACTGTGTTGTTGCAGAAATCATTGAGCTTCGATGAAAATACCTATAAACAGTAATACTACTTGCCACTCTCCCCTCAAGAAGAGAGTGATGACATCGTCAGTAATAATAACACATGGGATAGTGGACAAAAAAAATCGCAATCGATTGATCATTTTTTTGAAGCTGAATCAAAAATAAAAAAGAGGAAGCTGTTATCATCAACCGTAGCACGAGCCGCTAGAGATGGTGTATCATACATTTCTACTAATTCTGACGACGGAGACCAAGCGACGCATCTCATCAGAATGTACGATATGAAGAAGCTATCCAAGATTCCAACTACTGATCATTGGAAACATGCTTCCACGAGGCTTAAATATTACGTAAAGACTAATAAGGATAGCATCTACGACAACACAAACGCCCTCGTATACAATATTACAAAGACAATAGCAGAAAGTGAAAAAGTTAAAAAATACTTTTTTAACAATGACAGTCATTAGCTGATCATTAGTGAATGTGATTCTGTTTACTTAAATTACTTCTGTGTACTCATTATATTCTATTTCTAATCCTTTGCTAGACTATGAATATCGGACATTATTTGAAATTTGGGTATCAGTTGGTCTACCAACAGTGAAGTGTGCACCAGTGCTTTCTTCTCCACAACCATGGAAGAGAATACGGAACTATTCAACAGCGAATTAAATCAAGAGTTGTCTAAAGTTTGTGATGAAATAGAGAAGGTTCAACTGTTCGATTCATCGTATGATGATGAGTTGTATAATCACTGTGCGATGGTTGAAACACAGTTTAATTAAGTAAAATAAACATTCATTTCGATCATAATTTACGTATTGTCTTATACAGTTTTTAATAAATTTAAACATTTTAGTAGTCAATCACTGCAACTTGGAAGAGGAACGAAGCGAACGAGCAGCAAAGAACCCAAGATCATCAAAAAACCAACAACGGAAGCAGAAGCGCCTACCTCTGCAGGGAACAGTATCAGTAACGATGATCAAGTGGAATGTCTAACGTGTCATATATTTATCAAGAAACGATATTTAGCTAATCATTTTAAAAGTAAGGTTCACAAAAATAATCTTTTAAATTCACATAATTCTTTATCAAACGTTAGTGTTATTGAATCTGCTTTTGGAAATAGGATTTTAACTTATAAAATCAATAGTAGAGTAGATAGTTCGACATTGGTAAATTTTGAAACTCCTGAACTATTTTTAAATTCTATTAAAGATGATATTTTATTTTTAATACAAGAGTGTATTCATCAACACATAATTTTTAAAGTAAACTTCATATTGCATGCTGATTTTGTTCAACAAACTAAAGATATTCATGATACGTTCGATTTTCAAACGCTTAACTATATTATTTGTCAAGGAGATGACTTAAATTTTTTTTAATCTTTAAATGATACAATTACTACTAAAATTAGTGCATTTGAAAAAAAAGATAGTGGATGGAGTCTAAAAAACATAAAATCTATAGACATGAATGTTAATAAATTTAACCCCCCTACGCGGTACTTCATACATGGATCTTCCTCGTGACATAAAATTAAAAAAGGCTATTATAAATGTAAAAAAGCAAGGATTATTTTTGTTTTAAATGGGCGTTACTCTCGGCGTTATATCCCGTAAACAAAAACGCGGATCGTGTATCATCGTACGTTAAACATGCAAATAAACTTAAATTTGATGGTATTTCCTATCCAGTTAAAATTTCTGACATAGCAAAAGTAGATAAATTAAATGATATTAGTATTAATGTTTTTAGATTAGAATATAATAAAGAAATACGATGTAATTCTATAGGAGGTCCATTATTTTTAACAAAGTGTCGTAAAGATAGACATATCAATTTATTATTTTTTTCCAAGGATACAAAAAATCATTATTGTTAC